TAATATTTTCTCAAAATTTTCGGTATAATGTGACTGTGTGAAATGAACAGATTTTTGAGTAACAATTATTTTTTGTGATATATCCCTAACAAAAAAATACTATAGTTAACTATAGTTAAATAAAGTTTACTACAGTTAACTATAGTTTACTATAGTTCACTATAGTAAATCAAAGTGTCAAAGTTTTCGATACAGTTTTTCAAAGTATCAAAGTTTTTGATAAAGTTTTTCAAAGTGTCACAGTTTTCGATAAAGTTTTTTTTTTTTAAGTGTCATAGTTTTCGATAAACTTTTTCAAAGTGTCAAAGTTTTCGATAAAGTTTTTTGAAGTGTTAAAATATCCAAGTTTTCGATAAAGTTTTTTGAAGTATCAAAGTTTTCGCCAAAGTTTTTCAAAGTGTCAAAGTTTTCGCCAAAGTTTTTCAAAGTTTCAAAGTTTTTGCCAAAGTTTTTCAAAGTGTCAAAGTTTTCGTCAAAGTTTTTCAAAGTGTCAAAGTTTTCGCCAAAGTTTTCAAAGTGTCAAAGTTATCACTATAGTAAATCAAAGTTATCAAAGTGTCAAAGTTATAACTATAGTTATCTATAGTAAACTATAGTTAACTATAGTATTTTTTGATAGGGATAGTGCCATCGTCTCATGCTACTGTCCGGAGTCCGCATACATAGCTCTCTCCTACCCGTGGCTTCTTGATCACAAAAAGTGTCGTAATCTTGAATATTTACGCCTCTCTATTGTGACGTCATATTCAGTCAGTGGCAAGTTTTGTTTCCATCGCAATCGAAATCAACAACTGACGTCAACTGTATACAAGACATATTTCCTATACTGCGATTGGATATTGAAAGGTCGCGATAAAGTTCATCATCCGACTATGCTTTACTCGCATTGGTCAATATTTTAATGAGCTACGAAGAATTCTCTCCTCGTTCAACCACGACCAGATGGGAGAAGAGCGTACATTTTGGCCGTGATTTGCGACGATGGGATAGTGCTTATAATAACATAATTATTGATCATGACAGGAAAACATTTGATGCTGTGCTTGAGTAAAAATATTAATTATTACCCAAATACGTTAATTACGACTTTGTGCTCAGATTAATATCATTGTTATTGTTCTTTGATTCTTGTAATAAATTGGTACTTTAATCATTTATAAGACGAAATTACTAAGGCCTGATTCTATAATCATTATGAAAAAGAGCAGGCAATACAAGGCCAAACGGATAATAAATAAATTAATTTAAAAAAAAACAACTTTCCAAAAACAAAAAGCTGTTTGGTCCCAACCTTGTTTTTGATTTGTTTAAGAATTTTTTTTTATTATCTTGACATGAAATATTTTCTCAAACACATTTTTTTTTAAATGGGAAAGACCAGACCGTTTTTTTTAAAATTGTTTTTTTTTCTTTTAGACAAAACATATGAGATACGCAAATGCCTGCAACTGGTCACTTTATGTATAATGATAACCGTGATTGTTTGGTTACAAAAAAACCCCTTTCAATTATTTCTGAATCAGTTCTTCAAGGTGACTTAGCTTGGTTCACGAGTACTCCTTCAGAGACTATCAAATGGTTATTTCACGTAATAGTTACCTCATATTCGTGCTTTCTCTAATTTTCAGGTTACCAGAATAAACCGTTTTCCATAGATGAATTTATTTTTATTGATTTTTAATCAAATTTGAAAAAAATCGATAAAAAAAACTAGCAGGCTTACTTCTGTAAGTAGACTCTACACGCTGTTAAAAACCTGCGACGGAGATAAAGATTAAATTTGATTAAACTTGAAGATATTAAATGTTAAAAATGTTGAAGACACTAAATACTTTATTTTGTTGAATTTAAGAAATCGATCGTCAGTAGCTCGATTTGATATACTTGTATTATGCTTTTCCTGTACTTTTCTATTTTACGACATGAATATTTCATACCTCAGACAGTTTGCTATTTAAGTACGCCCTTTCCAACTTCTAATTTATTTTCTTTTAAAATATATGCATGAACTTTGTAGAAACCAGATTTTCACAAATATTACGTGTAGTTCAACAAATTGCACCAAATAAAAGAAAACTCCACAGAAAATAGATATAAGACATAGGTTAATGGGAACATGCATCAACTGATTTTAAACGAGGTATGTTAAGCATTTCTCTTCGCAAGAAATCAAAAGTTTGTTTTCTAAACCTTTCAATGCATTGCACTGCAATATTGAAAGTGTAGTGATCACCTATAAATGTTTCAAAAACCAGGACCGCTCAAGAAACTTATATTTTCAGTTTCTAGAAATACGTACACTATTCAAACTATACATTTCCTTTATTCGACCACAACATGAGTATGCATCTGAATTTTGTCCAGACTGTTCGCTGACAGATAATGATAAACTTGAAAAGGCTTAACTGAAACCCACAGTAACGTAGCTCTTGATTACTAAAAAAAAACATTGTTCTGAAGGTTAGAAGCACTAGTCTATTTCAAATTACAATGCTCATCCTTGATTATACTACTCCTTACTAAAATACATGCTTGAAATTATTCAACAAATCATCTGTCCCCGATCGTATTCGCAAATAAAATTTACTGAGCAACGAAATAAGAGAGATAACTTCAAAAGACTTTTTGAAAGAAAATTAAAATAATAATAATGATATATGGAACGCCAAAATAACATATATTCAAATAATTGACCTCAAATGAATTGTACCCATCTTTAAATCAATTGTAACTATATTCAAATGAATTGGTAATAAGTACAATTCTATTATACCTTTTCTTAATCCATTTGAAGATAGGTACAATTGATTTGAAGATAGGTATAAATGCAATGAATTGAAGTTGGTGTAATTGATTTGAAGTTAGGTACAATTGAATTGAACCTATCTTTAATTACTAAGATATTGGCAATAATAACTATTCCCTTTATCATACGTAATTTCTGGTATATGTTTTCGCTCACTTACTGATATACATGTGTATTTTAATAAGTATATGATGCTTTCTGCACATTTTGAATTTACCTTTATTTCTCCTTTCATCCTCATTGTCGTCGTTCTGTAGGTTCTGTGCGTTTGTCTCCAAGGGAGAATTAATTATTTTCAACAACACAAAACGAATTGAACCTACGTATAATTCAATTGTTCCTATATTCAAAGCCTTTGTGGATACCGGGTATGTCTTAATTGAACCTTTCTTCAAATTATTTGTACCTATCTTTAAATCAGTTATACCTATCTTCAATTATACCTCTCTTCAAATGAATTAGAGATAGGTATAATTCAGTTGAACTTATCTTTAATGGAATTGAAGATAGGTGTTAAAAAGATAAGTATAATTCATTTGTACCTAGGTATAATTATATAGAGATAGATATAATTATTTACACCTATCTTCAATTCCATTGTACCTATCTTTAATTCAATTGTACCTACTGTAGACGTACTTTTTTCCACGGGGTCATAATTCCACGGAATCTCAATTTCTGTTTAATCCGCGGGTAGAATTCTACGCGGATTTCCTAGACTGTCACTATATGCCTTACATTTTTATTAAGTACAACTGGATAAATTTCCGCGGAAAGTTTGTGACCGCGTACATAGCGTAAATTAATACCACGCGGAAAAATGTATTTCTACAGTATTTTTAATTCAATTGTACCTTGTCTTCAAATGAATCGAATAAAGGTACAATTATTTGAAGATAGGTACAAATATTTGAATATATGTTAAGGATACACCAAAGGCTTTTTTCAAGATTTTTGTCAATTTTGAGATTTTTGGCTAAGAAAACAATGCTAATCACTGCTTTATAATGCATGAAAAATTCTTGCTGATTATTAAATGGTTTTCTAATTATTTAACAATAATCAAACATAAACACTAACACATGTGAATGTGCCGTTATTGAAGCTTCTGATTTGGTCTGTAACTGCCTGCTTCTGAAAGGAGCAATAAATCACTGTGACCACTTGGGGAATTCTTCACTAGCCACACAGAGGTTTTCAGTAATTAAAATACAGGGACTCTAGATTTAGGGAAGGAGATCTAACAGGTCACTAATGACCATGAAATAGGAGGTGGAGCTTAGCTCTTGCCATTTTGCCGGGAAATCTTTCTGATTCAGAATTGAACCTATTTTACTTCATTTAAAGCACCTAAATAAAGAATAGAACCTCCCATTCTTGTGAATATACATAGGAAATATGGATAAGTGACAGGTATCCAAAGCTGAATCTCCAAGGTGTCATATATTTCTAGCTTTGGCAGACTTTGTTGTGTAATGGGTTTTTGCCTTCTACTGTAAAGTAAGATCAGACAGTTGGTGGTATTATTTCAAAGGATTCAGCTCCCTTATTTATTGACCAATTTCTCTGAAAACTGGCCAGAATGCATCTCAAATGTGTGTTCACAAAACCGTATCTCAGATTTTTGATATCTTGCTCAGTTCTCGAATTATTGGGGGAAATGTAGAATTGGGCTAATAAATTGATAAAATTGAAAGACAAATGGACGTAACTTTTGAATAAGAAGATTAAACAAAAATCTGAGATACGGTTTTAAAGTTCAATCTTTAATCTACATTTAGGCAAAATTTTGACTTTGAGAGGTGAAATACAAAAAAGTTTATTTATAAAATATAAATGCACTAATATTTACATTAAAATATCAATAATTTTTTAATAAGATAAAAATGAAAATTTAAATTAGGATCATTAAATAGTAAATTTAACAAGCTTTCAAATGATATATACTTTTAATATGTTATCTTTGTTAATAAAAGAATTACAAGCAAATTAAATTTTGCCGTTTGGAAACCTTTGGTGTATCCTTAATTTGGCGTTCCATACTAATAAGCCTCTCAAGTATTTTACAAATGGCAGAAGGTATCTGAACATTTTGCATACAAAATTAAGACATATTGCTCTATAGCAATGATTATATTTTGATAAAATCAATATTGTATTTATTATCATCATTATTATTACTTTATTCACTTACTTAGGCCTTTCGCTCCGTGAGGAACATAGGCCATCAACAACAGTCCTCCAACGAACACAATTCTGAGCTGCTTAGCTGCATCATGCCAGGTCATATCCTGTGTCTTTAGCTCCGACTCTGAGTCACGCCTCCAGGAGTTTGTAGGACGTCCTCTCTTTCTTTTGCCCTGTGGGTTCCACGTCAGGGCCTGGCGTGTGATGCTGGATGGTGACTTCCTTAATGTGTGTCCAATCCAACCACACTTTCTCTGTCTTATTTGTATGTCCATTGGTTCCCGTCCTACTCTTTTCCATAGTTCTTCATTTGAGATCCTTTCAGGCCATCGGATGTGGAATATGCGCCTGAGACCGGTGTTATAAAATGTCTGGATCTTCTGCAGGGTAGCTTTAGTCACCCTCCATGTCTCTGCACCATACAATAGGACGCACTTTACATTTGAGTTGAGGATCCGCAGTTTAGTGGTAATTCGGATGTTCTTTGAGGCCCAAATGTTCTTTAACATGGTAAATGCAGCTCTTGCCTTGCCAATTCTTGACTTGATGTCGCGACCTGTGCCACCCTATCTATGCAGCACTCCCCAGGTAGATGAAGGACTCAACTTCTTTGATGGGCTCACCACCAACTGTGACTGGTGTTTGGACAGTGGTGTTTATCTTCATCAATTCTGTTTTCTTCGAGTTGATTTTGAGACCCGTTCCTGTTGACGTTGTTGCAAGGCGAGTTGTTTTATCCTGCATCTGGCTTTGGTTGTGCGAAAGGAGAGCCAGGTCATCTGCAAAATCAAGATCGTCAAGTTGGTCAGAGGTGTCCACTGAATACCATTATTCCTGCCTGATGTGGTAATCCTCATGATCCAATCAATGACCAAGAGAAAAAAAATGGTGACAGCAAGCTTCCTCGTCGAACTCCTGTCTTGACCTCGAAACTATCAGATATCTGGCCAGCATGTGCAACCCTGAATATCATGCCTTGGTAGGTGTTTTGAATCAGGGAGACTAGCTTCTCTGGTACTTCATAGTGCCTCAGTACCTTCCACAATGTCTCTCGGTCGGTAATCATTATTATTAATTGATATTACTAATATTTCTTTGTTAAAAAACTGTGTACATGTTTATATTTTAATGTAAAATTTTGTCACGTTTGTCTGACTGTATTGGAGAGAACCATTTTTTTTTTTTTGGAAGTTGGGCCCAATGCCTTTCACATATTGTCAATAATATGTTTATTCAAAACAATCACATTTTCAAAAAATATTATTACTAATCAATTAATTTAATCAAAGTATTAAAATACATACTACAAGACATTTGATTAATATATTTAAACTTACTGATTTGTTAATGAATCATTCAAACTTCAAAATTCGTTCAAGATTTATCTTTCAGTACAACCTCTCCCATCCATCAAAATTACTTGACCCCATCCAAGGTATTTGCTTCTAGAAATTTAGCAGTGTTTGAATGAAGGAAATGTAAACTTGTGAGAAATCGAGAGAAGTGGTTGATAGAAAGCGAAATTCAATTTTATTCAGTCAAGCCGTGAATGAGTTGGTTGATTGATTCATTCATTCTATGTTGTTTTGCGATCTATTCGAGAATTTTTCACTCATGTAGAGATGTCACCGTATACCGATGAATGAACGAGTTATAGAAAATACTCGAAATCGTATATACTGTATAAAGGGGAACAGGGTTATTTCACACGCCAAAAAACTGTTTTATTTAATCTCCTTTCACATTGACACAACAATTTTGCCCCGTTTTAAATTCGCCCAGTATCCTAGTCAACTTTTTGTAAGAAAAATAATGAAAACTAAAGCAACGGCGTATTATGCCGGATTGTGTTACATGTATATCGGTATCTTGGGGGTTTATTTTTAAATATATTTCCATTTCTATTTGTTTTTTCTGTGATAACTTTTAAAAAGTTACTAGAGTTTATTTCTAGATCATTCTACTGGAATGTAAAATTCGCCAAGCGGTAGTTCAGGAGCTTAGTATTGATTGATTGATTGATTATATAAAGGGGAAATATAGTTTGTTTGAGAAGGCTAAAATTTTAACCCATGGTCACACCCCAAAAAACCCTTTCATTTAATCTCCTATCTTCTATGGACACAAAAGGGGGGACGGGTATCGTTAAATTCGAAAAATCAGGTATCCTGTTCAACTTTTTGTAAGAACAGAAAAATAATGAGAAAACAGAAAAATAAAGCAACGGCGTATTGTGCCGGATTGTATTACATGTATATCGGTATCTTGGGGGTTTATTTTTAAATATATCTCCATGTCTATTTGTTTTCACTGTGATAACTCTTAAAAAGTTACTAGATGTGTGTTTATTATAATGTGTAGAATGATAATATCAATGAAATATGTAAAATTCGCCAACTTACGCTCTATAAATTTTAAATAAAGTTGAAAAGACTAACGTCATAAAAACAAAAATTGTGTGTAGTACTGCTTTGATTTATAATATTTTGTTTAATTTATATTTCGAACAATTTATTTTTCACACATTTCAGGAAGTTTTTAAAACCACTTGCCGGTGGCAAATATAGCAATATACCGCAAATTTTGTCTATACTTGGCACTCAGGGACATTGAGTAGGGAGGGAACTTTTTCGTGCCAGCACCTACTGTGACACGGAACCTCGGTTTATACGGTCTCGTCTGAATGACCGATCTCCACGTCCCACAGTGGGATTTGAACCCGCGACGTAAAGATCAACTCCTTAGTTCGCAAGTCTAGAGCAGACACTTTAACCACTGCGCCACGCGGGCGACTTAAATAAGTCGAAGTGCTTGATTCATGCGAGGACAATATTATAATAAAAATTTGAATTTTTAGAATATTTTCATGTTCATAACTACCTCAATCCCCCTTCCTCACAGGATGACAAAGTTTTGGGAAAAATTATGGATTTAATTGTACACCGTCTTTGTACATATGCAATTATTTTACTAAAAAAAAATTCGAGGAGATTTAGTTTGAGGCTGGAATATATCAATCACAATCTCATGATTTTTTTTTCTCGGATGAGTCGGAAAAAACGTTGGTTGACATGCAAGTATGAGAAAAAGCTCAGATTTGAGAAAAAACTCAAAAGACTATTATTACTGTTTGGTTAAACAGTCCGTAATTGAGAAAACCTCAAATATTTTGAGAAATCTCAGATGTGAGAAAATCTCATTGTTTGGTGGTCCCATAGCCAGATCGTTACATGGCTAGTGATATCTTTAAATAACACTTGTCTCTAGATAGAAGTTGACTCTGCAAAATGTGTCATCATATTGTTCAACTTTTTAATGGTATTACACCTTCTATATCCGATTTCGCGGATACTACGATTCAACGATTTTGAGGACAGTATACGCGATTTCAGGGATAATACTCGATCTCGAGTATTCTCTTCAACATGACGAAGTATCGCTTTTATAATCTTGGTCAATATTATAAGAAGAGAAAGAAATCTTTTTACATTATTTAGCTAATCATCTAAAATCAACGATATAAATAAATTTTGTAGAAAGCTCTTTCGTTGTCTAATGCAAATTGCAAATAAAGTCACACCAAGCATGAAAATTTCAGTATTATTTCTTATGCCTAAAACACAAGAATTATTAATTAGTTAATCGTATTTTAAACACAACATATATATGGCATCATATTTTCTGCATCGTCATCACTCGTACAGGTTTTACTCGTGGCGCCCTAAACCTTCTGTTGTTGTATTCTTTGTATTTCTTTCGCTCCTCTTCATCATCGTCATCATCATCACGTTTCGCCAAGGCAGCCCAAATCTTTTTGCAACAGACACTCAGTAAGCCTATTGTTACCACAGCCACGCCTCCCAAAACTGCATAAAGGCTAAACCGGTACCAAGAAGGTGCATTCGATGTGAAGACTTTAAAAATAAGTAGATATTTAGCATCAGCTTATATTCATTAAATTTTACTTTTGCGTGATTCTAAAGACATAAGATCTGTGTAGTTCAAATTTAAGAGAACGTTTTTAAAAGTGATCATAATTAATCTGTAAATATTGTTTAGTCAATTGTTAATCTTTTATTCAATTTATAGCTTATATTAAAATCTTTTATTCAATTTATAACTTATATTAAATTTAATAACAAAACAACTACTCGGTGACATCCCTCTTTCTGGTACCTTGTCCAATATTGATCTTTTAGTTATAATTTGTGTGGTTTCCATAGGTGTTTGTGCTGATGTTGTTGTTGTTCTCGCTTCTGATGTTTGTTTGTCCATTGTTGTTCTTATAGTTGTAATGTGTGTGGTTTCCATATTGGGAGAGCTTAAAGTAGTCTTTGGTTGAGTTGAGTGGATAGTTGTTTGTGCTGTTGTTGTCAGCTCCATTGATTGTTTGGTAGCTGAGACAGTTGTTGTTGATGATCTCGTTGACTCCTCAGTATTAATACTTGTAGTTGGAGAATTTGTAAAGCTCAAACCTGGAGTTGTCGTTATTGATGTTTTCAAAATTGTGGTTCCTACTGTTGTATCTATTTAAAGGATATTTCCGCCTTTTTATTCAAGATGCCTTTCCATTTGTTTTTAATGATTCAAATATTTTATTATAGAATAATTAAAATAAAAAAAAAAACATTGAAAAAGAAAACGGCAAATTTTATCTTCCATACGTATGGCTGTAAGACAGTCCTCATCCATTCTTCCGTCATTGTCATTGTCTAAAACGATATAACGCTTTTAAAAAACAAGTCATAAAAATTACACAGTGCCATTGTAAGTTTCATTTGTATCCTTTTGAAAACAGAAAACAAATCAATTTTATATTACCTTTTTTATTAAAACATATTTCTTCGTCGATATTACCATCACAATTGTTATCGAGCCCATCTCCAATAGTCATCGGCTTTTGTTGGCAAATCTATTTTATGAAGGTTAAAAATCTCATACAGGAATCATTTAGAAATTTTTCAAATAGTTTTACTAAATGAACGATGTAAATTATGTATTCTTACTTCATTTATTGGTGCAAATCGCTGTCCAACAGGAAAGCAGTATGATTCATAAGGAGCACCTCCGTATAATATTCCACTAAATTTGGCTATAACTGCAGAATGTTTCAATGTGTGACTTCCAGGAGGAATTTCTAAATACCCGAAAGAGAAGTCATCATGTTGCACCAATTGTTTGATTTGGGACATAGATATTGGTTTACCATCAAGAACGATTCCATTTTTATCCTTTGTCTCTATAGCAAAAACGAAAACTGTAGAGAATTCGGTATTTTGTGATGATACAGGAGTCGCAAAGGAATAAAAACTGTTAAACTGTTCTCTAGGTGGAATCAGTGCCATGGCGGGGTGCCCTGAATAACCATGGGCTGTTGGACTTGGATCATATAGAACTGACAATATCGGTTTATTAGAAGTTACAACGGAGAACCCATGTAATCTTGTTTCAAGGAACTGCCCAGATTTCTGTAAAAAGTGTTTGTTATTGTTCACCATGAGTTCAGTGTCGTCTTGATTTGACAGGAAACGAAAGATATTGTCATTTGTGTGGGGAATTGGATTGATGAAGAAAGTTTTTCCCCACACATTTACAGGGGGAATGTGTTCTTCGAGATGATCCTTTGTTATCCCGGAACCGATCCTTGTTACCGTGCTTCCCCCGAAAACGGACACCGGAGAACTGGCGTGTATAAAGGTGCCTGTCAAGTCACCGCTTGTTATGATCTGAAGTGTTTCCAATCGGCTTATGGTCGTATTTATCCAATCACCATTGTGATATTTCTTCCTGTCCACCTCTACCTCCACATTGCCTCCTTCTGAAAGCTTGATCGATAAATTTGTATTATCCTGAACTCCTACAACTAAAATCGCAGTTTTGTAGTAATTCACAAAATTGGCGTTATTTCTATATGCTGGAAATAAATACTTCGTACCCAACACATCAACTGGTAGTGTCATGAAACCATCTGTTTACACATCGGCAACGTTTAAACCAAAAACAATAATTTCTTTGTTTCCTTTGATAAGCACCCCATTATTACAACGCATATTACCCAGTAATCTT